GCTTCCGGTTGAGGCACGCTAGCTAGCATCCTCGGAGTTTACAGCCAACGGTATTTTTGTGGCTCTGCGGCTCTACATGAGTCAACCGCCAGAGCGCAAACTCCGGATGTTCAGGCTTAACCCCTCCTTCCTCCCCCGCAGCGTACTTTCACCAACCTAACGGTTCTGGCCCTCGTGTTAACGACGCCACACTATGCTTTAATGTAACATGTACTGTTTGCTTCATTAGCATTCATATATTTTGTATGTTTGATTTCGTTAAACCCAGTATCCTCTGACAGTAACCTGCCAAGAAATATCTTATCGACGTCCTCTAATCAGCAATCTGGGTATTGCAGCCAAAGCGATTTCCAGTGGAAACGCGTTTTCGCCTGTTCTGTGTATCTGACGGAGTCCTCCCCCCCCCCTCAACAGCCTTCACCACCCTTCTTCACTTCTCCGACAAACGCATCGCTCGCTGCCGGCGACGAAAACAGACGACATTGAGCAAATCAAACGGCGACGTTCGACTGTCGCGAGCGGCTGCTGCCACCACCTGACACCGGCAGCGCCCGCAGCGCCTCACTGGCGAATCAGTCCCACTTCAAAGAAACCGCGCGCGGCGGTGGCGGCGGCAGGAGGCGGAGGAGGAGGAGGTAAAAGGGCGCTTAGCTGCGACAAGTTGAGTGGCGGACGCAGGAGGAAAAGCCGAATATCGAGAGGAAGTTCAATGAGAGAAGTTTGTCTTCGTAAACATGAAATACCACGCGCGATACAATTTTGTCGGTAGAGCAAAGTAATAAAACTAATGCTGGTTCGTACTATTTGCACAAAAACCTATATCGAGGTCTCGCAGTTGTTAAAATCTACTTGAAATGTATGGACATTATGAAGTTTGATCATTTATATTTGTTATTAGATTTTAATGTAACTTTTGTGATTCTCATATAAGCCACAAAACTTCCTTTAAAGTAATTTCGCACTCAACCTTAAACATGTCTGGTATTTCTTTTTTTTGTACACGTTTTTCCTCTGATGCAGCGAAAGCAAGTCTACAAAAACAGAAATATTTTGCAGAGAAATAAAAAAAAATGTAAAACTAGTTTCCTACACACACAGAAATTGACAAAACTATGCAGCCTCTGGTCATATGAGAGATGTCACTGATTTTGTTAGATACTCCAGATTTGGGGAAATTGGAAAACAATGAATCACTATTTTTACTGACTGATGTTTGATTTATTATTCCACAAACTTTTAAATTTCAACAGTTATGCAGTTTAAAATAATGTTTAAGCTCTGAAGACAGTAAAATCTCTTACACAGGTTAATGAGGAATATTTAGGAGTTTTAAATATTTTTTTTCATTTCTCGGGTTACATACCCTACGCAAATATCAGGCTACGCCACTGGTTATTCCTTTTTTGTTAAAAAATGTATTGCAATGTTATACGTTATTTTATTTGTAGTTTTCGGGCAGTGTATGCTACGTTTGGGAAAACCATTTTACGTGGATTTGATCAATAGCATTTTTTTCTGCGACATGCTGCTTACGGAATATAGATATTTATTTGTTGTTTGTTGATATTAAACACGAAATATAGTTCAGAAACTGTAACTCTCGGAGTAACTAAAAGCGTTTTTTTAGGGGAATAGAAATTATTTTACACAATGTTATTGCTTAGTTTTAATTGCCATGTTGCAATGTTAGTTATAATTGCTACGAACAGAACTCCTTAAGAAATAAACAAAGACGTTTATTACAGCTTAATCAATAATCCGTTTCAGCAACCAGGAAACTTTTATTTAAAAAGTTCATTTTTCGAGTTTTGCCAATGTTTCAGCCCATGGAAGATAGACATACTGCCGTTGAGAATAACACATTTCGGATTCTTTGAAATGTATGTTTCTCGAACTGCTAATTATGAACAATATACCTTCATTATTGATTGTATAACAGAATGAAATAATGAAGAAAACCTTATTTCGCCCGGTATGGTACCCTGTATTGGATACTATCGATATAATTAATGAAAAATAATTGATAAATGCTCGAAGATAGAAAAATGTTGCTCGTCGTGAAATAACTGTCGCAGATTATTGAACAAATTGTTGGAAAATTTGTTACTGGCCCGTCGGCAATCCCAAACCCAAACCCAATCCCAAACCCAATCCCAATCCCAATCCCAATCCCAATCCCGATTCCGATTCCGATTCCGATCCCGATCCGATCCGATTTGATAAGGGGTTTACGAGTCACGGCAGAGTGACACGTGACTGTATGGGGCAAAGTACCCTCGCGTGTAAAAAGACTGAGAAGGTATCCGTAGGCATGAAGCGGCAGTTGTGATCCAATGAGGTTAAGTGACGTTAAGCTTAATTATGGCGATGGTGATGAATTGACTTGTGTTGTTAGAGCATATTTTCATAAACACCAGCATTCGAAAAAGTCTTCTCGCGAGACAGTTTTATGTTGCGCATCAACTTATCTGCAAACATTGGGAGAACAACGAATAAGGAAAAACGAAATCTAAAACGGCTAACATACCCCTTTATGCAGCTCCACTTAAGAATGCGCCGCAAGTACAGCATTTTAAGAACCGTCCTTGGTGCAATAGCTTCCAGCGACGCCGACAGACTACAGCTGACATCTCCCGGAAACAAACAAAAGAGCCTCCAACCGCGGCTGACACCTTCAAAAGTGCTGTCAGCGGCAGCGCCAGCCGCGGCTCGCACTATCTGGCGGTGGGTGGTGAAGAGCGACTTTGCGCCAATTACAAGGCGCACCAGAGATCTCTCCCAGTGGACTCAGAGAGCCCCTTCACAAAACGGATTTAGGTGACATCTCGACGTGCAGCTGGGGTTTTTTCTCATGCTCAATACAAAAACAACGAAATTCGTGAAAAAGTCCAATAGGGCGTACACAAGCACATGCACGTACAAGCAGGCACTGAATATATGAATTCGTACATTAATTGAGGAGAGATCATTCTAGTCCACGTAAAATGTTAACCTTGATTTCTTCAGTAATTGTAAATGTTTTGTAAATCGTTGCATTGTTTCATTCCAAAGAAGTTATAGTTTGATAACGAGTAATCTTTTTTCATAATTCAACACTATTCCTTATTACATATCATACACTTTTTATTTCCCTTTTTTACAAAAATTATTCGAAATTATTAAAACACATTCGTGAAAAATGATGTCATTTAATAGACTTTTAAGAACAATTTTCAGCAAATTAATATAGCTATACGTAGTGCCTGAAGCGATGTTGATAAACGAAAGTCAAATAACTAGTTTACTGCAAATTGACGATCAATGAAGATTCATATTATATTAATGAATACTAGAGAGGACTATTAAAAGTGCCACGCCTGTTGATGCAGCCCACATCTATACTCCTCGAACCACCGGAGGTCGAGAGATGAGCTTTCAATCTCGCTAGACCATTAATGACAGTTGAAGCGTTCTCACTCTACTGGGTTGCTATTAGTTCTAATTTGAAAGATATCAATGAAAGCAACTTGCGTACGTGATGAATGCAAACACTCGCTGCGAGGTAGAAGATCGTATGTGACAGACTTCGGAAGAAGTGAGCTGCGCGCTCACCATGAGAGAAGCAAAGTATAGGGTAAATCAGAGAAACCACTTAATTCGACAAATGAACTACCTGTGCAAGGATCCACAATCTCACTGATCTGAAACAAATCAAGCAAATTTACGAGTCCCACTATCCAAATTACACCTACACAAATAAGCATATATACTCACGTGTTAACCCACAAACATACACAAATATACACATCCACACACACATACATCCACACACACATACATACACACACACATACATACACACACATACACATACATACACACACATACACATACTTACACACACATACATACACATACATACACACACATACACATACATACACACACATACACACACATACACACACATACACACACACACTACAGACGTTCAGTTCCGTCGTCTGTGCACGAAACAGAATGCTGATAAATATCAGAAATAAAAAAACTTATATGAAAATGAAGATACGACCAAGAGAAAATGCAATATTCCATTTCAATTAAAATTAACCGAGATCGGAATCAATAAGATGGTGGCATTAATTATAAAGCGGATTTGTATATGATCTATTGATCCGTATTTTCCTATGGACCTGTTTTCTGAGGCTAAATAAATATGTAAATAAATAAAACTGTCTAACTTTTTTAATATACTTTAGGAAATAGTTCGGATACATATTAAAAAACCGCAATTCATCACTACTTTAAAAACTTTAAAGGTGTTCAAAACAAATCTTAAAATTTAATAAAGATAAAGTGTATTCACGTGACATAAAACACTTAAATAAAGGTTGTATTTGACCTAAAAATACATTATGTGTTGGAAACTAGACGTAAGTCTTATGAAATTCGCTTCCTTGTTGCGTAATTTTATGGGTTCATACAGGGAATGATATGGTTCATTCTCTGGCATGCGAACATGGCTCGTTTATTACATTCACGGTTTACGAATCATATTTTATAATTATTTGCTACTGATTGTAATTAACCTCAAAATTGTTGCATTATGAACAAAATTACACCTTTAATTACCGATGGACACCCACTAATTAATTTCTAATTATTTTATAATATATGAATATGTTCAACGTCTATTGGATCACACTCTATTGATGAATAAACTGCACAGGATACATCGGTTACCAATAACAAACATATGCTTTTCACAAACGGGACGCCTGCCAATCACATTCTCAATTTTTATAAAAGAAAATATGTTTCCATCGAATCAATTAATAACACTAAGCCTTAAATCATTCAAAGAGCAAATATTACTTCCAATTTACACTCTTATTTCGTTTCCAAAACTGACCAAAAGAAAGAAATTAACAAAGAAATGTATTCCATTAATTACGTTATACAAATTACAAATAAAAAGTAATATTACACAAGATGTATTACAAAATGAGATAAATACTTACGAAATTGGTGTAAAATCTCTCGATCATCTAACATTGAGTCACACTTTCACTTCCAATACGCAAGAATTTAATCGCGAGAATTTTTAACCGGATAACGTTTTTACAAACAATGTTAATTAATTTGTGAAACGTATCTTGCCGGCTGAAATCCAACTCCGGAATATTCACCGTTCTCACTAGTTACTGAAATTAATTTTCATGTATCGACGAATTCACGCACTGCTTTAAGTAATAGGAGACCTATAATCTTGCCTCCCAAAATTAAAGTCACCAGAATGCTAAATATTTACCGCGTTTTCGAACTGAATACTAGCACTACCATCTGTCTCCCCACAACACGCGCGCGAACTGCCACCGTTATCGCTGGAGTTCACCACTCCGAGACGTTCATTGGTCATTTCTCGAGTATCAGAGCGAGTCTGGAGTTACGAGGTATTTCGCGAACCGCACAAGGGGTTGCTGCAGGCATTTCAAGGTGAAATAGTTCAAAATGCGTGCCTTCGCAGCATACTGTGCGCGCCACGTCATATTAGAATTACAGAATTGCACGTAATATTAAATATACCGCTCCTCAAAGATCACATTAAAAACTTAGCTGCTAATTTTTTTTAAATAAACACGTTTAAAAATGCCAATGTTAGAAATTTAACTTTGCACGAGCCGGACCTCACGGCCACGTACAAGCGCCCGAGAGATATGCTGCAGTAAGCACAACGCCAATACTTGCATAAAAATGTGGTAAATAACGCCAAAAGGGTGCCGAACGGCTATTGTCTTTGCTGACCTTGTTCATTTTCTATATTGCAGATCAGCCATAGATGACCGAAAGGATAGGGATGGCTACATAGCAGTGAAGTGGGGCTGCATTGCACACCGCGGCCACACGGAACTGTGCTGCAAAGCTAGGAGCTTCAAGGTGAAATATCTTGGCGACTTGCAGAAAAAAGCGCGTGGCAGGTCTCGTTGAGGTGTAGTGAAGAAGGAGCCATTAGCTAGATTATCTGTAAGAGGAAATGGTCCCGAATCATAAATATAAATAAGTGAAAACAATGTGAGAGTACCATCCAGATAATAAATGAAATAATTTAGTAAAAATTAACCAACCAAAATTATCACATGTACAACATAAAATTATCGGAATGAAGAGTTCTAAGCATTTCTTCAATGTATCATTAAATATCATAAGGGCCAGTCAATAGGATTTATCACCACGGAGATGGCTGATTAGAACCGGTAGTACGTATAATTTTCATCCAGGCTTCACACATTTAAACACCAGATGAATGCCGGAAATTAACCTGGCAAACGGGCAAAGAACCGCGGGCAATCTTTCCTCCCCCTCCCTTGCCCTGTCCTCACCCCTCACTTACGCACACTTACACAAACCTGCACTACACTACCACACATTCCGGAAGACCGGTCAGGAGCTTAGAGCTTGTCCCCGGTTGGGGCGGTGCCACGCTGGTGGGAGATACTTGGTTGGGGAATATCCCCGCAAGCAGACGGTAGGTCGGTTCCAGGTCTCGCTATCCAGCAGAGAAGATCATCGCCACCTCTCGCGACAAAACATACACCTCATTTACGGGAATAAAGGCCTTAGAAGTTCACGCGTCCGGAATCACTATTCATCAATTAATCAATCACCCCATTTACTTGGCTGATGAGGCAAATCCACCTCCATCGGGCCCCGAACCCTTTAAATCTAAGAAGATGCGATTTCGGTCTAGTTCCCTAACTACATTAAGCTAGAGTAATTTAAATCACCAAACTTTTTTTGCACTTTTCCCAAATTTTGCACACAATTTTCCAGAATTGAGCCAGAATTAGTACTTGCCGTCGTTTTAATTAATAAATTTTAGAAATGCATTAGTTGTCATTTAATGTATTAGATAACAACCTTACATATTAATATAAATGAATTTAACTTAATATTACTCGAATTTCAACGTGAAAATGAAATATTTTATATAATATCGCTTACATTGCTTACTTAAATAATACATATATTTTTATTTTGTAATAAATATTAGCATAACGCAAGCGATTACATCCCACAAAAGGAACAGTGGAAATGTTTGCTACAGAAAAGTAATACATCTGTACTAAACGGTAAAATCGAAAACTTGAATGATATAGTTTCATGACATTTAGGAGTAACTCTCCAAGACTAATGAAACAAGGACAAATTCTAGAACAATAAAATCACGACTCACTATAAAAACAAAATTAAACATGTTTCAAAAAATGTGATTGAATTTTCTTATATTTACCAAGAGCTCTGTATATGTGTACCACTTGCTATCCATTTTCACTCAAAAATAACGCATGCGAAATAATTATAATCCATGGAGATTTTAGTTTAAAAGATGCATGTATCACAGACGATTGGTACACATTGCGTTTATTTACACTCACTGATCTTTACGTTTAAGAAAAGCTATCTTCGAACGTAAAAAACCCACAATCTTCTGTTCGCTAACCATAACCTCATATTTTCACACGGTTGCTCCCAATAGGACAAGACTTTGAAGTAGATTTTGACATAACCAAATGACAGAATGAATAAATAACAGCTTAGAAACGTGTATACAATTAATTTTATGGTGTTATTAAATTTTAATTATGATTTTATTTTGTTTTTATACTATAAAACCGCTTAATATTAACAAGATACCACTTATCTCGTGCGCACTACCTGACAAAGCAAAAGTCATGTCATCTTGTTTAATAGAAAGTTCAAATTTCTTTCTATACAAATACCCTCAGTGTTTTAAATAAAAATAGTTTTAAACAATTGAGAGACATTGCAAAAGATATAATCACATAACAATGTGACATAAATGTTTGTTTATTAAATAATTTCTAATAATCTTTATGTTTTATAAAACTTTTCAATAGTACTTCTTTACTTTTGACCAAATTAATAAAATATGCATCCAACAAGTTCTATATAAACAATAACATATTTTAATAAAAGGTCTCTTTTTAATAATTCATTCTTGACCTTCTAAATCAATCTGTTTCTTTCCTAGTAATAGAAAAATATGTATTTCGTTATATTCCTCAAGAATAATAAAAATGCAACAGGGGACTCCTGAACGTAATTTCAGCGCATTGCAATTCATGTTCGTAATAGCACTCAACATGAAACTGTCTCAAAAGAATATTACTATTGAAACATCAAGGTGCACATTCAGTAATAAAGCTGCTGATACAAGCCAATTAGAACAGTTTTGTAATTTATATTGATGCAGAACTGGAAATTAAAGAGTGATGTTCCTTATTTTCCCATTGCATGACTGCTCGAGTTATCTCACCAGTAAAGAACGACGCTTCTGTTTCCGAGAAGCAATTTGCACTACAAGTACCAGTAAAGATGTTCCAAATGATAAGAACCAGAAGAGGTCGGGTTAAATGCTTGGAGTTGGGAGCAGGTAGCTGCAATTTAATGTAAGTGATGATGAAACCTGCAGTAATCGTGTACCACGGTAGGTAATGGGTAGGCAAAATTTTATTTTCACAGAAAATCTTTGACAAAAAATCATCGAGCTAAAGAATATATATGTCAGCATGCATTGCACTCGAGTTAATGATATATTCGTAATGCTAAATCTGCATTAAATCCGACTGATACATGATTTCGACCTAAAGATGATGGTTAACTGATAATTTATCAAACTTTTTTCTTATACTTAAGCAAACAATTACCTTCCCTATCGAATATTTAAGGAACAACGTGTCAATATTCACCAACGTTTCAAAATTCACTCTCTTAAAAAAGATGTTGCTATCATTGCTAAAGGCCGTAATCAAATTGGTAAATGTGCTTTAATTAATTTTCAAGTAATTTAGTTTCACTGACATTATTTCATTCTGAAAATAATATCATTAGCGTTCAAATATGTACACTATGTGATCAAAAGTATTCGGACACTCCAAAATGTTGTTATGGTGTGGTCGTGTTTTTCATGGAGGAGGCTTCCACCCCTTGTTTCGTATGGCACTATCACGGCACAAGCCTACGTTGATGTTTTAAATACCTTTTTGCTTCCGAAAGTGTTGAAGAGCAATTCGGGGATGACGACTGTATCTTTCAACACGATCGAGCACTTGTTCATACTGCATGACGAGGTGCGGAGTGGATACACGACAATAACATTCCTCTAATGGACTGGCCTGCACAGAGACCTGACTTGAATCCTATCGAACACCTTTGGAAAGCCGCCAGGCTTCACCTACATACATCAATAACACATCTCAGAGCAGTACTCCTTGAAGAATGGGCTGCTACTCCCCCAAATAATCTTCCAGCACTTGATTGAAAGTATTCCTGCGAGAGTGGAAGGCTAAAGGCAGGCCAGAACCTTACTGAATTCCAGCCTTACCGATGGAGAGCACCACAAACTGGTAAGTCTTTTTCATTCACGTTTCCGGATACATTTGATTCCATAGTGTAAGTGGTATACACCATCCAAATCAGAGTACCCCAACAAATGGTCGGTTTTTCTTATCAACTCGTCCCTGCCGGTAAAATACAATGTGCGTTACATTAATCATAGGAATCATTGCTCTCATGTGCAGTTGGAGCGCAAACACAATATAATTAATATTTGACCCGTTCCTAAACGTTTGGGGAAGTAATTTCCTTATTAAACAGTTTTATTAACAGTTCTTTATTAAATAGTCTTATTAAACACCACCCGTGCATTGGATATGCTCAGATAAACATATAATACATTCGTAGTAATACCAACAACAATTTCTGCGGCAGTCTCTTAAAACTGACTTTGAATAAGAAGGTAAATTTATAAAAAATGTACAAATTTGAACTTTATTATATTTTAAGTATAACTAATACCGCACACTTGGCACCTACACACTGACAGGCGAGACACTTGGCTCCATCACACGAAACGAAAAAGGCTACCAACCTCCCAAACTCCGGGGGATGGTGGTAGCCCACGACCCTCGGACTGATGCGTCGCAATTCGCAGAGTCGAGGCGCTTTCTCGCCTTCTCTACCATCCGATCCATCGACTGTCTTTTATTTCAGAGAATCAGCATTTCAACTTATTCTATCCTGTTTAAAAACAACATTTATGAAAGAAACCAAACCAGACCATTCATTTCAATTTGGTTTGAAGCATCTTAACAACTATTTTAAACATTCTGAACGTTCATACACATACTGTACTTCAAAAATGAGACGAATTCAAGAACATTGTAAAACGTTGGCGCGACAGCCCAAGGACCTACCGGCGACGTTCCTGCCTCACTGCCATGGCTTAAGGGGGTACGTGTGGTTGTCACGTAGATATCCCCACACTGTATTCCTGTCTTCTAAAATTGAGAAGTGAATTTTGTCATCATCACACAGCAACATATGCTGGGG